TTCTGTGGCCACACAGCTCTGGCTCCCCATTTTGTAAGAGCTACTCAGGTCACAGAGTAGAAGGTACGGGTGGGGGCAGGGCTCTGTCTTGGGGCTCCCTCAACATGCCCCGGACGTCCTCCCCTCCCCTCTAGCTTTGCTGTTTCTCACGCCAAGTACTCATCCCATCTTTCACCTAGCCGACTCCCTATGTAGTCCCAGCTCTTGGAGTTAAAGAAAGCCCTCATTTTTAGTGTGCACTTGGAGCCCAAGAAGCCCACTGAATGCACTAAAACCAACACTAAAATCTCATAGTAAATAATGAAACACAAAAAGTGTGGCTGAGACTTTAGGCTAAAAAATGAACTACAAAATGATGGTAGTAAGTTTATAGTGCACACACACACACACACATAATTATATGTGTAGTGATACATGTACATATATTATGATAAATATTTATATATATTATGAGATACACACACTTACACAACTTGGGTCAAAAATATAACCCCATGCAATTTCTTATGCCATAGCATGAATCAACTGCTAGTTTTTTCCCATAATTTTCCCCACCAAACTGGGAAAAGCCCCACTCCTCTGTCCTGAGCACTGCAGGGTGTTAGGCAGCATATCTGAATTTCACAGCCCAATCATAGTGATGGAGATGTTTGCAGAAGTATTCACAGACTTGATTCGTTTTCCCGTGGGTCTTTCCAATACTTAGCCATTGAAATCATTGCTTTATGACATGCTTTTCCTCTGGGACCCACCCCTTGTCAATTTTTTCTTCTCAGTTGCTAACTGCCTTATTCCACATGGAGCCATCTACTAGGAACTTCAGGCATGGTGGGTGACATCTGAGGCATCACCCTTCTGCTCCAGATAAAATCCTGCATCTTTCCTAAGAGTTTCTGTTTCACTTTCTAACCATCTTCGGTACATTTTTAGCCATGGACAACCAGTAAGAGACTAACCACCAAAGACATGGGCTCAACAGGTGAGGGTCTAGGCTAGTGTTTCCATCAGGCACTGCATTTATAGGCATTTGGTTCAGTAGTGAACGTTTTTATGTTGTGACGATGCTTGCTTCCCTAAGCAGCCACATTACAGCAAGGACTCAAAATATGAAGTTAGATAAGGAGCCTCCCCAAACATCCCTCTAACACAGAGGTTGCTATGGTTGGATTGTGTTCCCCCCAAAATTCATATGCTGAAATCTTAATGTGAAAACGCAATATGATGGCATTAGGAGGTGTGGCCTTTGGGGGGTGCTGAGGTCATGAGGGTGGAGCCCTCACAAATGAGATTGGTGCCCTTATAACAAAGATCCCAGAAAACTCCCCAGCCCCCTTCCACCACATGAGGACACACACAAAAAGCTGGCAATCACACAAGGCTGGCGCCCGGATCTTGGACTTCCAGCCTCCAGAACTGTCAGAAATAAATCTCTGTTATTTATAAGCCTCCAGTCTGTGGTGTCTGTTACAGCAGCCTGGGTGGACTGAGATAGAGCCACTGCACGGTACTTAAAACCACACTTGTGAACACACATGCACACATACTACAGTCCTAACTAACGTCTATATAAAATGCCAACGGGAGCACAGAAGCAGCAACTGCTGAGCTGGAGGAGAGATAAATCCATGAGCCACTCTGGGGGAGTGGAATATTTGCACAGTCTCATGACATGAGTAAGACTCTTCAGGGCAAATTGGGAAAGTGCGTTCTGGGCAGAGACACCATGTACAAAGTTCAAAGGTGTGGAAGAGTGGAAAGGCCTGTTGAGGGACGGCAGGTAGTTGATGTAGTCAAAGGGTTCGGTTGAGTTGGGGAATGGAAGACAAAAGATCAAGTCCAGACAGGTAGGCGGAGCCAGATTTTAAGAGCCTGGTAAGCTAGGGCCCAGGATTTCCGCAGCACGACACTACTGACATTTGGGGCAGGGACCTTCTGTTGGCATGGGGGCACTCCTCTGTCCTGAGAACTGCAGGGTGTTAAGCAGCATCCACGGCCTCTTTCCACTGGGCCCCTGGTTGAGAACCGCTGGTGTGGTATCAGCTTCATGAGGATGGGGGCGGCCTGCAAGAGATGATCTGTGGCTCTTTGCTGAATGAATAATAAAGGGAGGCAAGGCCAAACAGGTCAGAGAAGAGAAAAAATAGGTTTTCTGAGTCCAGGAGAAAAACAGATGGGGTGAATGAGAAGACATTTTTAAGAGGGAGAGAGGAAAGCTGAAGAAGTTCACAGTGCCTTCAGAGATAAAGGTCATTCCAGAGACAGAGGCCAAGATGGGTTTGGAGTTTGAAGAGAACGGATAAGAATCAAAAAAACCCCTGGCAAGCTTGGAAATGGACCCCAAAGCGAGACACCCTTTACTTCCGTGTATGACAGGTAGTGGGGAGCCCATGAGCTTCTTGTTTTAATAGTTATGTACTTAGCACATATCAGGAAAAAATACTTATTTTTTATGACAGTAGTTATACAAAGTTTCATTTACGTGTATTTGTAAAGCAGCTAATAGAAAAAATTAAGCAACAATGGAACAGGTTAGATAGGGCAGATTGTGAAGATAGTGTGTGAATGGCTGACGTTTGGAAGGACGTGAAAGGGATGAGGCTGGAGCACATGACTTCATCCACTTCTCCTGCTGTCCTGTCTCAGAGGTCCTGCTACAACTGGTGGCGCGGTCGGCCTCTTCACACACTGACCCCGGGTCTCAGCCCTCCTGAGGTCCAGGAGGATATGGGACTGCAGTTCACAGTCATGAGCCTCTCTGCTCAGAATATCTAACCTTCACTGTAAATACCTTCTAGTTCTTTCTTGACTTGTGTTTCGGCTCCTCAGCCAGAAGTGAAGTTCCTTGCTGGAAGGAATTACATGTGCATTCTTCACCCTCCCAGGCACGGGAAAGGCGTGGAGATCTAGGGATGGTGTGTCATCCTTGGGGCAACTGCCGTAATGGCCAGTCACCAGCTCAATTTCAAGTCAAATGAATGACCTGCTAATTACTTCCCTGTTTCTGTGAGAGGCACAGTGACACAACGCTTAGGTATCTGAATATCATTCATTCATTCCCTCTGTGTGTTTCCAAGTTAAGTCTCCAAGAGATAATGGACGTAAAGAGCTTGCTCTCCACATCGTGGTATTGCTTCCACCCTGGGGAGTCACTCAGAAAACATGCTTGGATCCTAGATGTTCATCTTTCGGGGTCCCATTCTCATCGCTCCAGATGCAATAAGTAAAAACAACAGAGATAGAACATGTAGTGGGTGGGGGAATAGGAGCCATTTGTTTTTCACAACTTTAAAAAACGGAAATCTTGAACTAGGGGGCAGAATAACATTCTCTAAAATATACAGAACAGGAATCCTGGATGGTGAACAACTTCACGGAGCTCCAGGAATAGCAGGGACAAGCTGTTCTGTGCTAATGGTTCCTGAACCGGTGCTTTTAACACCCAGCAACATTAACTTCGATTTTAATCAAGGCTGGGCCCTCTCAGCAGCCCTTAAAGCATTACCCCTCTAAGAGCTCATTCTAAGTACTGTGTTTTTTTAAGCCCTGTGTACCACAAATTGCACTTAGCAACTACCCAACCATATTATTTCCTTCCTGTCTAATGTAATTTTTCTGTTTTTGTATATAAAGGAATTTGGCTATTTTAAAAATTATTCTCCCTCCTAAATTGACCTGGCTTTTATTTGTTTTTAACAATCAAATAAGCTAAGAAGAAGAATGAGGCAGTGCTTCTAACTAGCTTCTAAGCAACCAGATGTAAAGATTTTTCCTCCACAGCCATTATTTAAAGTGGCAAATTGTTCTGTTAGGGGATAGAAGGTTACGTAGGGGAGGGGTGGTGTAAGCAGAAGGAGGGTTTACCCTGAATGTTAGGCCAGACAGTTTGTCCACTAGACAAGGTTCATCACCTATGGATGAAACCATATGCCATTTCTTCCTGCCCCCTCACTTCTTAGTCATCTGTTCATTTATGCAACAAATAATTATCATGTAGGATCAGGGGGATCACTGAACAAGTCTGGCAAGAGCCTCACCCTCAAGGGCTTATAGTCTAGTGGAAGTTAAACAGATAAACTAGATGATTTCAGTAATTCATTCATTTCACAAATAATTATTTCATTTTTCAATAAAGAAGCATTGAGTCTTTACTATAAATCAATAATTTTTTATTGCAAAACAGGCAAGATCCTTGCCTTCAAGGGCTTCTATTACAGTGGAAGCTAAATAAACAAACAAGATGACCTCAGAGAGTGGTAAGTGCCAAGAAAAATTCAACAGGGGGTTGTGATGAAGAATTAGGGGTTGGAGGCTCTGTTTAGGAAAGCTGATGAACAACAGCCTTGCTGAGGGTGATATCTGAGCGAAGACCAATCCTACAAACCCAGGTCCAGGAGGTTTTTCCTGATTACCACCCTTCCTTTCCTGATTACACCCTTCATTTGGGCATCAATCAGTCTGATGTTAGTTCCCCCCACCCACACACACACACACCCCGCGTCTGTAGGTCTTCTCCCCACCAAGATCATAACCTCCGAGAGGAAGGGAGGAATGTGCACCCAGCTGACCGGGTGACTGATGGTCGGCGGGGCTGTTGGGTGGTTGAATGGTTGCCTATGGAGCTACACAGCCTGGGTTGGGAAGAATTTTCTAAGAAGGGGCCATGAACATTTGCTCCAGTGAACACGGCCGGGTCTACCCGTGAAAACGGGCTGACTGGACCCGTCGACAAGCCTTGCCACACAAGCTGAACTCGGGCAGGGCAGGAATGAGGATGCGGGCGAGGCAGGTGCACCCAGGAACAGGTGGGGCCTGCGCCAAGCCTGCCCGGAGGCCGGCGCTGCCGGAGACGCCCGCGAGGGGGCGGCCCGCCGACCGCCTGCTGCGCCTGCGCAGCACAGCGCCCGCGCCGGCCGTTCCGGGCGCTGCCACCGGAACTGCGCCAGCGCCGTGCGCCCAGCGCTAAGGGGCGGGGTTTCGTTGCGCCGCGCTCGGGGCTGGGGCAAAACCCGGGCCGGGATAGGGCGTGGGGCAGCGCGTCGGGACGTCCCCCGCGTCGGGCCCGGCGGCGCGTGCGCTGCGCGGCCGGCCGGGTGGCTGGGGCTCGGGGCAGGGGCGTGTGCGGCCTCTGCTTCATTGTGCCCTAGCGGCGCCCGGACATCGCGCGGGCCGCTGGCACCATGAAGATCTGGACTTCGGAGCACGTCTTTGAGTAAGTTCGGGGCGTAGGGCAGGGCGGCGGGCGGCACGGGGCAACCGCGGGGTGGGTGGGAGCGTAGGTAGGGCTTGAAGTCGCGACGCGGACGACGCGCCCCTTAGGAGCCGTCCAGGTGTCGGACCTACATGGGGAGTCGGGCCCCACGGGGTGTCGGGGCCGGGTTCAAGGTCACGACCGCGGGGACGCCCGAGGGACAGGGACCCCGACTCCAGGCCCGGACGCCGCCCGCCTGCGGAGGCCGGGCGCGGGGCACTGGGGCCTGCCCTCCCGAAGGCCCCCGCGGTGGTCGGGTCTTCGTCCAGCACGAGGTCCCTGATGGCTCCGGGGGTAGAGGCCCAGGTTCCCACATCCGGCCTGCGCAACCCTGTGCGATGGGGACCCGAGGGTCCCAAGAGGAAGGCGTGAGCTTTCTGTAGAGTCCTGTCGCTCTGCCACCTTTTGGGTGGAGTTTCCTACTGGGTGAGCTCAGGAGACGAGGCGAAACCTTTTCCGCAGCCCTCTGACCTGAAGAACAGAGCTCTGGAGTTGGAATCCAAGGTCCACCTCCGGTTCCAGCAAGCTGTTTGTGGCCTTGGGTAACACATTTTCATAACATGGAAGGTTGATGGTACTGGCCGGGCCTGTTTTTGAGGCCTCCTTAAGTCGCATTTCTTAGCGAGAAATTTCTAGTAATGAAAATAGGCCTTAAATCAATTGGATGATGGGAATTAAATTCCCTCCTTGTTCCATGGTCCGTATACAAAACAACCACACATATAAGCATTATATATCGTTTTTGCCTAAAAAATAGCCCAGAACTCAGTATTGACATCCACCTTCCTCTCACTGATTTGAAATTCTGCCTCTGTCCTAAATTTTGTCCTGGTTTAATTTGAATCCATTTCTGAGCTATGTGCTCAATTCCACTGATCTTGGCTATTGTTGCCACACTGTTTTAATTTGCATCGCTTTGTAGTATGTTTTAGTTTAACCGCTTGATTGTGTGTTTCTGAGGGCAATTTTGAAAGAAGATGTAGACTTTTTACACACTCCGCAAATCAAACACATCTGAGAGTCCACTGGATCCTGGAAAATATAGAAGGTTAAGAATCCAAGAGATTCTTTACTCCCTAATGTTAACATCTTTGTGGGGAAGAAAACCCTAAATTTGTTGTCTTTCTGGTGTTCTTTAATCTGATCACATTCTTTACTGCTTTGTCTTCAGCCCTTGAGATCATGGGTGGTTTCTTCCCTGCAATCCTCTGGGATTTGAATGCTTCAGAAGTTCTTCACACTGTGTCTCCTTACAACTTTCTTCTCCCCGGCTTGTCCCCTGCCCCCACATCTGCTTTTTTTTGCTCTTTTCTTCAGTGTTTCCCACTCTTCTTCCCCTTTGATGTAAATGTTTTATGGGATTCCGTTGTTGCCCTTCTTGTCTAGCATTTCACTGTTAATCTTTCTTTTTTCTCTGTTTGTCACAGACCTTTCTGATATTTGCAAAAGCTCTGGGACCCTGCTCCCAGAAGATAAACATTCTAGTAAATGCTCTACATGTCCTGGAAGAAGAAACCCTGATCCTCACTCTCCCCATATCTGGGCTTTTCAGTCAAGATCTCAGCTGATCCTTGCACATTCATGGCACCCAGATCTGTACCTTGGGCTGCAGCCTGTCTTGAACCTCAAATCCTTATTTTCAGGTCTTACCAGACATTTCTACTTACATGTCCCACAGGCTCTTCTGGTTCATACTCAGCATTCCTGGAATTAAAATCATTCTCTCCCTCACAAATCTTACTTCACTGTTTCCCATCTCCACGATGTCACTATCTAACAATATCTAAGTTACCGTTTTATGTCTTAGGCATCTTTGACTTTCCAACACTTTCTACCTGGCCCTCGCATATAGTTGGCATCCAGTTGAAGTCATTCGTTGATGCCTTCAATAAATAAGAATGCCCACTATGTGCCAGGTACTGTTCTTTGGGTTGGTTACATTGTGGTGAGTAATTCAAGACATTGCTGCCTCAGTGGAGTTAAGTGTACCTGAGTATCCCCCACCTCATTTTATAGGTGAAGAAATAAGACTGGTCAGTAAGGTTCTGGCTGCCCTTTGGTGCCATCCTTGAATGTCTATCAATGCAAGGTCTTTTCACATATTACATTATACAGTTAAAATTAATTGCTGGAAGACTGTTCATCATGTGTCCTTTATAATGTTTTGACTAGTTTCACAAGGCAGTCTTAGTCTAAGTTAAGTCAAAACATTGGGGTTTTGAAGTTGGCTCAGAGGTAGAGAAGGATTGTATTACAAATAATACATAACTACCCTGAAGCCATACAATTATTAATTTTTTAGAGGGGATGGAGAGAAGAGATAAGTGCAAGGATGCTAGCTGACCATAGTATATGCCTAGGTGGAGACAGGGAAAGGGTTCATCCGATCTTCATTTTAGATAGTTGCCTTGGTAACAGTCTGAGTGTTTGGCCTATTTCACTTCTATTTGTGGATTTATGTTTAGATGTATGAAGTATCTTCGCTTATATACCTGCCTTGATTGCTGAATAAGGCTTGAGATTAAAAACAGAATGAGTTACGATTAGCATGTATAATGTGGTGGGGGGGCATGGGGAGGGCTGTACAACACAGAGAAGACAAGTAGGGATTCTACAGCATCTTACTATACTGATGGACAGTGACTGTAATGGGGTTTGTCGGGGTACTTGGTGAAGGGGGGACCCTAGTAAACATAATGTTCCTCATGTAATTGTAGATTAATGATAAAAAAATTTTTAAAAAACAGAATGAGGTTCATTTATATAATAGCAAATAATTAAAACATTAACAATAATGTCACTGGTTGTCCAGGGTTCTCAGAAGTGAATAATGTTGAGATTTTCCTTATTGACAAGTAGTTGTCAGGCTTAGTTCTCTGAAAAGTTGAAATAGACTAATGCCTACCTGTTTTGCCTTTAGAAAAATAAAAGGTAAGTATAGTTTGAAATATCATCTCCAAATCTTGTCCTTTTCCTTTCAATGAAGGCAAGAACACAGATAGGGTAGAATCAGACTGCAGGTGAACTGTCACCTTTAATAGTCATTGTAGTTAATAAAGGGCTCTTTTGAAAAGACTCTTTTGTACAAGCGTCTTATCACAGAAGTTGCGCAGTGAACAAATGAGCATCGCATTTTGAGTCACCCAAGTACATGTGCTTTTTCAAGAAGATAGCTCGCTGCATGGGCCATGATATTGTTGCCATTTCAATCCTAGATAATAAGCAAATGCTTATTATATTTAGAGAGTATTAGAAAATGGCATATTAGGAATGTCTTTAAACATTTTATTGTAGCAAGTGACCTTTTCAAACAAATCAGAATCACTCCTTTGGGGACTTGGAGAAAGCAATGGATAAAGATTAACTGGAGGGGCCGCTGTTGCTTATTATTACCTTAATAGAGAGAAAAATTTGGATCCTCTTCTGTAAGAATTTACAAAGCTTCTAAGTTCTTTTCCACTTGTTACTTCTTCATGGTTTTGTAGCATTGGGGTCAGACATAAGAGTAAATGGTGCAAGAGTAATTCTTGCTGCTTGTTGCTGTAGAGCATAATTTTAAATAATTTTTATGAATCGGTGGTCTTAGAAACAAAATTTTCATCTGAAAATGAACACAGAAATAGAAGAGATTAAGAAACTATAATACTCTCAAGGCTATTATAATCTTAATAGCCATCAGCTGTACTATGTAACGTACACTAAAAAAAAGTACTGAAATCTATTCATGTTCAAAATGTAGATTCAGCCCCCAAAATCATCTTTAGGTCAGTGTTTCAGAAAATAATTTTTCCTCGGTAAATTAATTAAGCTTCAACTGTAAAGAATAATATGATGGGTTATAAAAATGGCTTGATTTATATGCATATTTTTTAATGTTTGACTTTTGGTTCATGTCGGCAGCCACCCTTGGGAAACTGTTACAACAGCTGCAATGCAGAAATACCCAAACCCTATGAACCCAAGTGTGGTTGGAGTTGATGTATTGGACAGACATATAGATTCCTCTGGGAAGTTGCACAGCCATAGACTTCTCAGCACAGAGTGGGGGCTGCCGTCCATTGTGAAATCTGTAAGTGTCTTTATTCCTCTAGAAATGTGACTGCTGTAGAGAAGTTTTCCAAACCACATTATAATTTCAAATAGGTTGTGGGAGCCAATTCTGAATGTCATTTTTGCATCAGTTCAAATTGTATTATAATAAACTTGAGTTATGAGTGTATAATGAATTGGAAATATTATTACAGTCTTCATGAAGGCACCAGATAAAACGTCCTGAAGGAAGCCAGCTAATGCTTTGTAATCTAAAAGGAGTTAGATTCTGCTTTTCTTGGTTTTTCAGCAGTTTGAGACCAGTAGTGAAATCTGGAAATTACAGTCTCGTGGTGATTATTAGCTAACAGTAGCATTGGTCAATGGTGGGTTGTGTGCATTAAGCAAGGAGCATATTCTCAAACTTTGCTGTTGCCACATTTGTTCCATGGTCTGCTACTTCCCATACATTTAAAAACATAATTCTATTCAGTTACAAGCAAGCAGGCTTTAGTGAGCTGATGTAAACAGCAAGAAACTGTAATGTCGGTTTATCATAATGTGAGAGAATGCTGATAAGTGGACCCAGTTTTCTGTAGAGATTCACTTTCTAGAAGGTAGGTCCACTCAGAAAACCAAAGGACACGTTTTTCAGCAGAAGTGTACTGATTGTTTCCTTTGGACAAACCCTTGCATTCAATTGTGGGGACACGGATAAGCGAGTCAGGAGCTTGGCTCAGGGTCAGACACAGGGAGCGAGGCTGGATGTAATGGATTATCCCTATGGTATGGCAGCTGTTTGCCTCTGGGGAGAAGGCAGCACCGCACCCTCTCTTCGTCTGCTCTAGGAAAACACTGACAGGTACTCAAGCTCTCCTTTCTCTGGATGCCATGTTTGCCCAAAGATTCTGATTTCCGTATTTCAGGCTCACTGTCCATTGTCACACCTTGGCAGTTCGAGCATCCTGCCCTGCGCTGCATACATCTCACTGAGATGGTTGCTAATTGCCTCTGGGAAGGGTTTTGTGGCTGGCTGGCTCATCTGTCCGTCGCACGTGAATTCCTCTTACCCTCAAACAGGTCTCCTTTCTGACCTCTGTCTGATGCATGGATTCTATGAAGCAGATCTTTGGTTCAATATAGTAACACATTTTTACCTTCAAACAAAATATTTGACACACTTGTTTAGAAGTCCTTCTCTACTAATTCTGAATGTTTTATTTAGCTTATTGGTGCAGCAAGAACCAAAACATATGTGCAAGAACATTCTGTAGTTGATCCTGTAGAGAAAACAATGGAACTTAAATCTACTAATGTAAGTTTTGGCTCCCTTTTGTTTTAAACGATTTGGCTTAGTATTTTGTCTCTTTTATAGTCGATATACAGATGAATATATGCTTTTCAACATGGCTTAAGAAATCAGTACTTACATGCTGCATTCTATTTCCATTAGCAGCTTAGCCTCACTCTCCAGTGACCTTGCTTATTATTTCTAGGGGATAGCACTCAATAAAATGAATATGGGACCATGTGCATATTATTACCATTGTAATGCTTTTACCAATTTTATTATGTTTTTTAATAAAAAGGAAGCAATGCGTAGTGGAATTTAAGTTCTTTTAGAGTAATATCAAAGTGGTTTATTTGTTGTTTTTTTGTATATTTAGCTAGCAAGATTTTGGTTTGTGAATTTTGGAAATGTTTTTAGATCTTGGTTTTCAAAGTGATCTTTTTTTTTATTTATTCTATAGATTTCATTTACAAATATGGTTTCAGTAGATGAGAGACTTACATACAAACCATATCCTCAGGACCCAGAAAAGTGAGTAAAAAATTTTTCAACAAACTTTTATTCACAGGGAGTTTTAATTTTTTTATCAAATTTTTTTTTTACCTTTAAAAAATTTTTTTCTAATTAAAGTATAGTTACCATATATCAGTTTTTATCATGGTGAACATTTTGTATCAAATGTCTTTGCAAAATGAAAACTTCATTCTGAAGCTATGTGAATGTGTTTTGTTCCAGAACTGTTTTGACTCAAGAAGCCATAATTACTGTGAAAGGAGTCAGTCTCAGCAGTTACCTCGAAGGACTCATGGCAAGTACGATATCTTCAAATGCTAATAAAGTAAGTAAGGCTGCTCCCTAATTGCTGTCACTTCTGGGTTTCATTTATTTGAAGAGTTGTTGAGTTATGAACGCGTATGTGTCCTTGCAAGCTGTCAACCATAATGCACTGAGCAACCATACAGGCGGTTCCTTGCACACACTCTCAGGTCCAGCACACCTGGGTTTACATCTGAATTCTTAACAACCTTCCAACCTTGAGCAGTTAAAGTTACTCACCTTTCCATGCCTCAGTTTCCCATCTGTGAAGTGGAGATTAATTACACATCTAACAGGGTTGGTCATGAAGAATAGGTGAGATAACATGGAAAGTGTGTGGTCCAGGGCCAGCATATGGCAAGTGCCCATGCAGTGTGTGGCTGTGTGTCACTATTTAAAGCACAGGTTCTCATTTTTTTCATTATCAGCTCTCCCAACCCCCAGGTCTAGTTTAGACATTTTTTCTTTAATCACTCGCACCTCATGAAATTATTTAACACAGGTGGATGGGTAGATGGATGAATGGATGCCTGTGCTTTACACATTAAAAGAGTGAGGTTTTTTTCCATACCCCCCCAACTTATTCTTGCCCCATTGAGAATACATGATTTAAAACAAAGTAAGTTTAGACGAAGAGATGCCTGATGCACTGTGTATTACACGTTTAATATAATCATTCAGCAGTCAAAGGATAATCATAAGGTGCCTTCTCTGTGCCAGGCAGAGTGCTAGGCTAGACTAGGGATACGTGCAGGAAACCACACGCACAGTTCTGCCCTCGTGGAATGAAGAGGAAGACGACATTAATCACAGAGCACATTGTGAGGAAAGGAAAGCTACAGACAGGTACGAGAGTGTTGACGAGTGCCCAGTAAGGGATGTTTCTGCTGAGTGCGGAATGAGGGCCCGTTGGTTGTGAGGGGCACGCCATGGAGCATGAAATGCCCTGCTTTCTTTTGCCTGAGTTGTATAGAGCACCAAGGAAGAATAGTTGAAGAAGAAGTCAGGGACCAGATCTTTCATGGCCTTGTACAGAATTTTGTTTAAAATATGGACATAAAATAGGGGTTTGAACTTCTTACCCATAAAAAGAGGACCACTCTATTCATGAAATAAGTAAAACATCACTTTCATTTAATTATAGAGTCTTTTGAGACCAACTTTTGCATACAAAATAAAAATCCGTCTATAAATCAAGCCAGTTGCTCAAGGCATTTCATATTTGGTAAGTAATATTTAAAGAAGAAAAAGCAAGGATAAAAGTCCACCCAGCTGGGGTTTAGTTACACTTTTGTAACACGCCTTGTTATTTCCTTATGTATCATTTATTTGATACCTGCATTTGCTCTCACATGGTAACAATAAGTTTGTTGAATTTTTTTAAGGGCCGAGAAGCAATGGAATGGGTAATACGTAAACTAAATGCTGAGCTTGAGGAATTGACAGCTTCGGCAAGAGGGAGCATAAGGACACCAATGGCGGCGGCAGCATTTGTAGAAAAATGATGAAAAAAGAAGTTGGTCTACAACACCTGACCCCCCTGGGTCTCTACAAACTAGCAATATATTTATTTGTTATTTAAAAAAATAAAACCATAGGTAGTTTTTTTTTTAATAAGCTGAAAAGGCTATGTGACTTTTCATCACTACAAAGAGATGCAGGGTTTCTGAGGAAAAGGGATCACTGAAATTAGCATTGTTTGAAATAACTTAGTTTGAAGAATCTGATATTTATATGAATATTTAACAGTTTTTGAAAAGTTCTTGGAAATTGATATTGGCTTATTAAATCTCCTTAAGGTAGAATTTTAAAGCTTTTCGTGCTTTGGAACGCTACCTGGCTTTGGACCAAGCCTGAACAAAGCAGAGCCATCTCTTAAATGTACACAGTTGCCTTGCTGCAGTAAATGTCAGATGATTGCATGAGGGAACTCACTTGAAAAGGAGATACTGTATAGTTTTAAAAGATCTTAATTTGTATAGAATAACTTGCTGTGCTATAAACCACCATTGAAAACTATAAACCACCATTGAAAACCACAGTGTTTGAATTTGGTACTTAAATGACATTTTTGGAGTGAAAATTATCACTAAAATAACATATGACTCCTACAAAAATGTGATTATTAAGAGTACTGTACTGATTTGCCAAAGCTTTATAACTTAGTAAAAGTATTACCTTCCTTGGGTTTGTACTTTATGACTTAGTATGTTATACTGTGGGCTGGTTATTAACTGAAAAAATTAAATCATTACCTAATTTTGCAGCACTCTTAAACAGAAGAACAGCTGTTCACATCTTTTAGCATTTCAAATCTGCCTAACTTATAAATTGCCATGTGTCAAAATCATGGTTCCGTAATTGCCAAAGCATGATATGTCAGGTTATTTGAATATAATTACTTTGTGAAGTAATTATGACCACAAAACATCTTTTTATACATGAAGAGCTGTACATCATTTGAAATCACTCAAGTGATGTCTTGATCTAAAGCTTAAATCCCAGGTACTTAATGTTTTGAATAATACAGTGCCACAGCCGAGGGTGGGGGTGGGGGAGAAGGAAAAATAGGGGAAAAAAGCATTGACCTAAACTAACCACTGCGTGGATTGCTTTGCAGCTTGTATTTCTGGGAAGTCCTTATTTTGAATGCTGAGGGATAGCTGCAATCAGAAAAACAGTCCAGTTAATGTATTTTGCTTCATCTTTTTGTAGCAGGCAGTTATCAACCAGTAAATAATATCCTTGATACTTGCAGTTGTTGGATAGAGTATTTTTAAAGGTGATTAGCTCTTGCCTTTATTTTACAGTGCTTAGCGTGATAAACTTCGTCGTTTCCTATAAAAGAAACCAATTAATATATGTATATAAACTACAGAAATAGCCTACCAAACTATTTTAAAAATCAGTGTTTTTCTACTTAAATTGTTTAGCTTAAAGACTTTTTAGGATATTTGTAAAAGCAAGTTAAATCCAATAAGGTTTTTGATTAGTTTTTGTAACTGGAGATGGGTTTTACAATTGAAATTTCAGCTGAACAAAACATTGCTAAATATTATTTGATTTTTAAAAGTTACCTTGTATGATTTATGTAAATTATCCTTGTTCTGAAAAAGGTGTAAAATGCCCTAATGATAAAAAAGATTTCTAAACAAATTTTTATCCTGTTTGATTTTTTTCATGGTGAGCTAATGATAAATTCTGTAAATTTTCATTTTCCAATGTAGTTACTTTAAATACTTTAAATAGTTACTTTAAATGGTAGTTTATGGCTTTTGCCTGTTAAAGTGTAAGTACACGGCTAACAAATGCATTGAGAGGACTAAACTGGAAGGAAGTGGTCTTCATAGATAAGACTCGTGGACTACAGGGCATCTTATCCTATTTTAAAACGGATGTTACATTAATTTTTTTTTAAAAAACCCTTCTTGTTAATGAAAGCTTCTTTTTAACCAGTATGGTTTTGCTAATTTTAATTTCTCTTTCCTAACTGTGTTGAGAAAAGAAGTTACTTCACTTGTAATAGCGTTTGGTGCCACGCTGGAAGCCTGCACTGCCAGGCGGCTCCCTCCCTCCCTAAACTGGACGCGCGGATGCCAGGGGTCTCCCGCGCCTCCGGCCCGGCTTGTCACACTCAGCGGGTGGCCCGAAAACCTCAGCGGGGACCGAGGGGCGGAATGCTGAGGGCTCCCTACGGCGCCGTGGGGACATGGCGTCCAGCCCGCAGTCACCGTGACGCCCGAGCTCGGGCGCGCGGTCCTATGTGCTTGTGCGACGGGGTTGCCACGGCCGTACCTCCGGGGTTGAGGGTGCAAGGAGTTTGGGAGGTGCGCCCCGACGTGGCGCCCCGCCGGGGTACTACGGAAACCCGCGGGGCGCCCACGCAGCCAATCGGCAGGCGCGGCCAGCCGGCCCGCGCGGAGATTGGCGCCGTAGACCAGGCCGCGCGCCTCCATTGGCTCCCGGCGCAGGGGGTTTATGCGGCGGGGTAGGAGGGGCTGCTCGGGACGGGGCAGGGCAAGAGGCAGCGGGATTGACAGGTCAGGAGCCCCGCCCCTTCCGTTTCTCAGGCCTGACCTTCCTGCCGGTGGGCCGCTCGCTGAGCCGGCATTGGCGCGTCCTCGTAGTTCGGCCCGACTCACCTTCTCTCGCGACACCATGGTGGCGTACTGGCGACAGGCTGGACTCAGGTAGGCCCGGGGCTCGGGAGGGGAGGGCCCGGGGGCCGCGGCGCGTCTCGGAGCTGCCCGGGGTCGAAGGTCACGCTGGGCGCGGGCGGGGGACCTGGGGCGGCAGGCACGGCCCCAAGATGGCGGCGGCGGGCGGGCGGGCGAGGGTGGCGAGGGCCGGTGGGCGGTGCGGGGCCTGCGTGTCTTCGGGCCCGCGTGTCTTTGGCGCCCCAGTCTTCGGGCGTCACTGAGCACCTGGCGCGCCGCGGGCGCTACGGACAGGTGTGAGGCTTTGCCAAGGACGGCAGCTCTGTGCTCGCCTTTGTCCTTTCGAGCTGCGCTCAGTTTACGTTGCAAAAGTAGAAAATTACATTAAATGTGGGAGCCAGAGGGACTGGGGGCGTCGTAAGGTTGGAACCACTGTCAGCGTTCTGGCCGTTCTTCCCAGCATCCAGGTGGAGCCGTTTACCACGGTACACACGTTCTTTTAATTTTAAATCAACTCCTATTGCCCTAAACTGTGCAGAGTAAAAACAGTGACACAACCAGTCTGGCTGGAACATTGAAAAAAGCAACTTTACATGGTTTCTTATTTTCTCCCAGCTACATCCGATACTCCCAGATCTGTGCAAAAGCAGTGAGAGATGCGTTGAAGACAGAATTCAAAGCAAATGCTGAGAAGACTTCTGGAAGCAGCGTAAAAATTGTGAAAGTGAAACAGGAATAATCTGTAAGTTACTGATATATTTAGGAGAGTTGCATCTTAAGTCTTTGAAAAAAATCAAAGCAATTTTAGGTTTGAGTTCTGTCCATTTTTTGGTCAGTACATTTAGAAGTAAGTTGGTGGGATAGTAACTTAAGCATACAGGATCTAGAAGTACCATTGTATAACAGAAGAATCTTTCAGGCTGTGACAAGCAGAAGTAATTGGCACATTGATCATTCAGTTCATTTACTAATGCGTAGGTAGAGAGCTGTCTTATTTTAATTAAACCTGTTTGATTTGTCTGCACAAGATCAAATAATTTGGAGGATAAACTCCCCACTTTTATAATTGCTACTGGAGTTACATAACAGCTCAGGAGCGTGAAAAATTACAGTTCTTTGCATTTTCATATCCCCCACATCTGGTGGTCTCACAAATCACTACTTCCCGAACATGGAAGCTCCACTTTCAGGTAAGAGTCCTGCTGTCTTGTCAGGCAGTACAGTCTACAGGACCCTGTAGTGAATGCTGTCTTGCTGAATCTGTTATGCTTTCAGAGAGTTTGGTTCATTTCACGTCTCCAGAGATGTTGGCAACGCAGACTTACAGTCTATGCAGTAAGACAGTTTTGTACAGTTTGTAAGGTGAGACTTTGTGCTCCAAACTACTAAAGTGATTGGATTTCTAAACCACTTTCTTGACATTGTTACTTCAAAGATAAGCAAGGCAAATGACGAGAGAGAAATGTTTTTCAGATTTAATTTTCTTGTTTTCCTTTTTAAAAAGCTTCAGACCCACAGTAGCAAAGAAATGTGATAAATTTTAATCCTTTGTCCGCTTGTGGTCATAAGCAGTTTCACTTATTGGAACTCTCTCCCCTAAGCACTTTTCATATTTTCCCGTCCTAACCACCAGTAGTAGGGCGAGTATTATCCTATTTCATTCTGTTGTTTCTACGTGTGAATAAAAGTTAACTGAAAAGATTGAACAGCCTGAAGGTCACCCAATTAGTGGAAGCAGGCGTTGCAACTCCTACTTCTGGCCAGAAGAAAACAAATCTGAAACATGAGAACATAGCAGCCATCCCCCTTTCCTGTTCTCAAAAAGTGTAGAAAGTGAGCTGACATCTTTTAGAAAATAAGATGTTGACGAGAGTCCGTCTACCAAACAGGAAGCAGGCTGTTAGATACTTTGTTATTGATGTGCTGTAAGGACTATCAGATTAATTTAGAAACCTTGCTTAGGAAGTATTTTCAGTGGCAGACTTGTGGAACAGAATTCGGTATTCAGGAAAAACTTCAATCAGAAGAACTGTTTAACTCAAAGTGGGTTTTTTTCCTCATTTAATTACTCTTTACCTTGTAAGAATAATATAGTTTAAAAGTTTTAAGTAGAGAAATGGAAAAAAATCACTCATAAACTGTTAACACTTGGGTCTATTTCCTTTCCTGTCCAATGGGCTTTTTGGAAATACCTAGGCATTTTTTATTTTAAGTTAATACATATTAAAAAGAGAAAACAGTACAAGGAAGAAAAAGTGAAGCTTACCTATCCTAACACTATTTAAGACCTGGATACATTTCTTCCTATTCTTTTTCTTTGCATAGATGCCTTTTGGCACTATGCATTTTTAAATCTGGTTCTACAGTAATGTGCAATCACACTAAAAATATTGGAAGGAAAACAAAAACAGTGACACAACCAGTCTGGCTGGAACATTGAAAAAAGCAACTTTACATGGTTTCTTATTTTCTCCCAGCTACATCCGATACTCCCAGATCTGTGCAAAAGCAGTGAGAGATGCGTTGAAGACAGAATTCAAAGCAAATGCTGAGAAGACTTCTGGAAGCAGCGTAAAAATTGTGAAAGTGAAACAGGAATAATCTGTAAGTTACTGATATATTTAGGAGAGTTGCATCTTAAGTCTTTGAAAAAAATCAAAGCAATTTTAGGTTTGAGTTCTGTCCATTTTTTGGTCAGTACATTTAGAAGTAAGTTGGTGGGATAGTAACTTAAGCATACAGGATCTAGAAGTACCATTGTATAACAGAAGAATCTTTCAGGCTGTGACAAGCAGAAGTAATTGGCACATTGATCATTCAGTTCATTTACTAATGCGTAGGTAGAGAGCTGTCTTATTTTAATTAAACCTGTTTGATTTGTCTGCACAAGATCAAATAATTTGGAGGATAAACTCCCCACTTTTATAATTGCTACTGGAGTTACATAACAGCTCAGGAGCGTGAAAAATTACAGTTCTTTGCATTTTCATATCCCCCACATCTGGTGGTCTCACAAATCACTACTTCCCGAACATGGAAGCTCCACTTTCAGGTAAGAGTCCTGCTGTCTTGTCAGGCAATACAGTCTACAGGACCCTGTAGTGAATGCTGTCTTGCTGAATCTGTTATGCTTTCAGAGAGTTTGGTTCATTTCACGTCTCCAGAGATGTTGGCAACGCAGACTTACAGTCTATGCAGTAAGACAGTTTTGTACAGTTTGTAAGGTGAGACTTTGTGCTCCAAACTACTAAAGTGATTGGATTTCTAAACCACTTTCTTGACATTGTTACTTCAAAGATAAGCAAGGCAAATGACGAGAGAGAAATGTTTTTCAGATTTAATTTTCTTGTTTTCCTTTTTAAAAAGCTTCAGACCCACAGTAGCAAAGAAATGTGATAAATTTTAATCCTTTGTCCGCTTGTGGTCATAAGCAGTTTCACTTATTGGAACTCTCTCCCCTAAGCACTTTTCATATTTCATGTTAAATTAGTAAATATTTTATTATTATGAGTCTGGAGGTGCGATGTTTTAAATGTAGTCCTTTTTCTGGGGGCTCTCTGTATAATCACATAATTCTAAGTAATGAGACCTGGTTTTATGATGGGTTATTTAAACCGGGAGCTGAGAAATTCACTTAGACTCTTTCTGCAGCAAAGTTAAGCCAAACTCCACATAAAACTCCCTTGACCTTGTGATGTCCTTGGAGTTAGGAAGACATGTCCACAAGTCATATAAACAGAACAGTGACCACTTTCTTTATGTTCTACAGGGGATATGGATCCCCGCCAACCCATTAGCCCATAGGGGGATTTTAGTGTCTTTTAAAGGCAACATAGTTGATTTGCTGGGAGTCCCTATGGCTTTACATACCAGGGAAGTGCCGGTTCAGCTCAGGCTTATGCGCGTGCGCCAGCACTGTTTACAGCCTGGAGCCACAGTTGGCCCCAGCCGTGTGAACTAGAACTGAAGCCACAGTTACTACACACTTCGTTATAAGGAAGTTGTTGCTCCCGTTCTAAGAAAACACAAAGGACAAGCAACTGTTGGATTTTCTTTTTTTCCTCCTAGACCCTGACTAAAGCTTGAAATGCTACATTTTGAAGGTGAAGATGTGTGAGCACATGTTATGGCAGATTGAAAACGATCTCACTTCATGAAAAAAAAAAAACGTGTTTTGTTCATAGATTGACAATGCCAATAAATTAAGTACGGTTCACTCTTGCTGTTGGTTTTGATTTCTGTCAGACTTTTTCTTTATAGGAATGGTAGGTAGGCACATCTGTAGAATTGCAACTTATGAACCAGGGCTTTTTAAGGGGCAGAGCAGATTTAATATCTAGTGACCAAAAGGATACAGAAAATCTTTTGAAAATGCCTCAAAATAGAAAGTTCTTTTCTCAGGACATTAATTGACAAAATAAGACAGTCACTGAGGTGCTGTCCTGCTCCTCTATCTGAGTTGTATGGGTGGGTCAGAGAGTGGAGGGAGCTCTTACCCACCAGCCTGTCCTGTTGTGCAGGGAGCAGAATCCCGAGGCAGTGCAGCTTCGCCAATAGCCTAAGTGAAAATAATTACTAAAAGCACAGGTCTGCATATAAACTGTAAAGAAGAACTGTTAATGTTGGAATTTAAGAACAAAATGCTTCTGACATTGTTTTATAAATGAATATATTCTGGGAGCATTTCTCACAGGACATGAGGCAAAGCTGTTTGGTAACTTGCTTGTCAGGTTGATAGCCAAGTGAAAGTAAGATTCCTGACTGCAAATCTTGGGCATGATGATTGCGACAGTTCAATGTTTACATGGTGATTCATTTATTCATTAGATATTTAGGGATGAAGAATTGCTGCAAATGTTTTGTTTTTATCTTTGACGCTTGGAAGTAGTTGGCCGAGAAAAACACCATTGCAAAGTTAACTGCTTGATTTTAACTGTTTTGAGAAATGGAGAAACAAATTTGAAGAGGAAATTTTGAAGTGCTGTTCAGATTTTGCACAGGGACAAGTTCTTATGGAAACTTAAGCAAACAATAATGTATAAGGGCCATCAGCTGTGCTGAGGAGGAGCCCAAGCAAATGTCTTTGTTCCTGGCTCCTGGGGACGGCTGCCTGCCTCTGGGCACTTAGGCTATGTAGGTTTTATGTCATTCCAGCACGCACGGGGCATGCAAGGCGGAGCACCCCAGGGAGTGGGAGAGCTGGGCCCTGGACAGCAGGTGCACACAAGCCCCTTGAGCCCTTCACTCCAGGGCTGTTGCCCTGCTCTGAAGTCAAGGCACCTGTCAGTGCCTCAGTCCCCAAGATTAAGGGACTGAGAAGAATCTTTAATTACAGGAATAGGAATAAATGAATCACAGGGCTGTCGGGCCTTTTTGATTCCAGATGAATAAAGTAACTGATAGGCAAAGAGCTAAGTTATTTCCAGGCAAGTAGCTGGAATGAAGTCATGAATAGGGCAGTGGATTAGAGGTGAGATGCGGACAGGGCCTATGATGCAGAGATAATTAAAGTAACTGAAGACGTGCTCTGCCCAGCAAAGAGTCTTGAGGCTCTCTGTGATTAAACAAAATAAAAACTAATGAAGTAAGCTGCTCCCAGCCATGCTGGGCAGCTGGCACGACTGCTGTGTCCAGATGAGCAGGGACCCTGATCAGAACTAGTTGTGGGTATTTTACTCACTTCTAAAGTGTTTTTGGAGGAAGTCATTAATCTCTTTGCTCATGCAGTGTTCTTGTGTGTGAAGTGGAATCGGATAAGCTCTAAAGTATGATTCTGCTGCCTTGGTCTGAGAGACCAATATCGCCGTAGCAACCAAACTGCTAAAGGAATAGGAGCTTCAAAATCAGAGGACAGATTTTTGGTTTCTAGTGTTTCAGGTTTTTTTAATCTGTTTCTACCATACAAAAGAGTAGGATGATGAGATGCATTTTTTTATATTTTTACTCAAAATTAATCAGTCTGGGCAGTTAGGTTCCAAGAAAAGGAATTTGTTTTGTCTGAAATAAAGTAATTTAGTCATTGAAAATTGAATTTCTTTGTACTTTAATGATTATTGAGCAAACAAAAATCTTTACAGTAATATAAATCAGAGGGGTTTTTTAAATTTAGGTATCTATCCTTCCTTGCATCTGTTTAACTACCTTTTTAGACTTGACAAGGAAAGTGCTATTGGAAGCTTGTGTGTAAATCCTTATATAATCACAGGATGTAAGTCTTTGGGATCTAAGGAGGTTATAAACTTCAAACTTAAGAGTACGTAGGTACAGTTTCTTACAAAATCTGCTTTTGTTTTTACTGCATCTAGAACCACACATAGCATCTAAAACCTTTTTTTTAATTTTGTAAATAAAAGGCTTGCCAAGATCCCAACAGCTGGAGTTAATTTTCTCTTGGTACTCATTTTAGTTATTTCTCATGATGCATACGTGACAAGAATAAAGTTCCTCCAAGTAGCGGTGCACTGTCATCTGTCCACCTGCTGCCTTACTGCAGATTATAAAAACTAATTGGGAGATGAGAGCCCAGTTGCTGGCAAGTGACATTTCCTGCAATGAGGGCCAGAGCAGCTTCCCATTACCAGCTATCCAGGGATCAAATAGCTCGGTGGTAATTCTAGAAGGCCATTAAAACCTTTATGCTACTGGAAGGGGTGGCAGTGCTGTATGTCAGAAATAGGTAAACTGTAAGTTATGGATGATTTGATGATGCTCTTGTGTATTTGGTCCTGTTGTAATGTGAGCAGATTAAAATCAGGTAATAGTTAAAGCTGTGTCATCATGCAAACATTTATGGCAACTTCTGCAAATTAATTTGAACTGTAAAAGTTCCCTAATGAGATGATGTCCTCTGTAACCAAGAAGGATCCTGCAGCATTGGCTGCCCAGTTCCCATGTGTGAACCGTTGCCGAGTGTGCAGCATGCACGCCCCTTTCGAACGAGCACAGAGGCTACCAGGTGTTTTCAGAAGGCGATTATTGCCTTAAAAAGACAAACTGAACTAATCAATTCCCAGAATCTAACACTAATAAGAAACTTGTAGTATATGAATATACATGTTTAAAGGTAGCTACTCAGATACAGAGATCAGAGGATTGCAGTTCCTGAGTTTTGCTAGTCGTTTTTTTGTTTATGGTTGGGTGGGGTATTTTTTAGAAAGGACTGCCTGCCCCTCTTCTCTCCTCCCTCCTCCCTTTACAGGTAGTATGCTGAAGTGCACACGTGGTCTATACAACTTGCTGGTAGGCGTTGACTCACATTTACCTTTAGCTTCCCACATGCCACTTAGTCACCTGGCTTTTCTGGAGGCTGGCAGGCAGAGAAGGTAGGATGCTGGGCACCATGTGTTGAGAGAGAAACTGAGCTGAGAATCTTAGCAAGGATGCCAGGCAAGGAGTCCAGAGTTCTTACCAGTGCTGCTAAGGAGTTTATAAGCTAATGTCTCAGCAGTGGCTCCCCACACGTCCTCGCGTGTAGTCCTGACGCCTGGCGCAGTGTTAATGCATACCCAGATTCCCAGGTAACATTTTAAACAAAGGGAGTACTTCATGATAGATTGACTTTGCTATTTAAAAGAAGTCAATAGAGTGCCCATCAAACCCTTCAATGTTAGTAAATGTCAGCACGCCCTAATGCCTTTCAGTCATTTGCCTGGCGCCCTCTCCCCGCAGTCCTGGGTCAAAGCTAGTGCTGAGCAGCTGCGTGGGATCGGTCACCGTGTTGCAGTGCGGAACAGGGGCACTCCTGGAAGTGAGGGACCCGCAGGTGGCGCCCACACAGCTCCCAGCGTTAATGTGCCTCACCTGGTTCTATTTCTGCCTCCACGAATTCCTCATTTTCCCCAAAGACTGCTTTGGCATCTTGAAATTGTTGGTACTCGGATATCAAATCGTGGATGTCCCTCTCGGCCTCCTCAAACTCGCCGATGTCCATCCCCTCGCTGGTGTACCAGTGCACGAAGGCCTTCCGTCGGAACATGGCCGAGAAGTGCTCCGCCACCCTGCTGAAGAGCTCCTGGATGGCCGTGCTGTTGCCGACGAAGGTGGCGGCCATGTCCAGCCCCCGTGGCGGGATGTCGCAGACGGCCACCTTGACGTTGTGGGGGATCCAGTCCACGAAGCAGCTGTGGTCCCTGGTCTGCACGGCCAGCATCTGCTCGTCCACCTCCTTGGTGGACATCCTGCCTCGGAAGACGCAGGCCACCGTGAGGTAGCGGCCGCGGCGCAGGTCGCAGGCAGCCATGGCGTTGCGCGGGTCGAACACCTGCCGCGTGAGCTCGGCCACGGTCAGCGCGCGGTAGCGCTCGGCGCCGCGGCCCACCAGCGGGGCGAAGCCGGGCAGGAAGAAGTGCAGGCGCGGGAACGGCACCATGTTCACGAGCAGCTTGCGCAGGTCGGCGTTGAGCTGGCCCGGGAAGCGCAGCGACGTGGTCACGCCGCTCATGGTCAGCGACACCAGGTGGTTGAGGTCGGGGTACGCGGGCGCGCGCAGCCGGAGCGAGCGCAGGCACAGGGCGTAGAGCGCCTCGTTGTCGATGCAGAAGCAGGCGTCGGCGGCCTGCAGCAGCTGGTGCACCGCCAGCACGGCGTTGTAGGGCTCCACCACCGCGTCCGACACGCGCGGCGACGGCGCCACGCTGAAGCTGTGCACCAGGCGGTCCGGGAAGTCGTCGCGCACGCGGTGCATGAGCAGCGTGCCCAGGCCCGAGCCCGTGCCGCCGCCCAGCGAGTGCACCACCTGGAAGCCCTGCAGGCAGTCGCAGCGCTCGCTTTCGCGCCGCACCACGTCCAGCACCGTGTCCACCAGCTCCGCTCCCTCCGTGTAGTGGCCCTTGGCCCAGTTGTTGCCGGCCCCTGAGTTCCCTGCGGAGGGGGGGTGGCACAGTTACCGACTGGAGCCTCCGGGGGGGCGAGCGCACCCGGAGGCAGCCCCTCCCGTCCCTCCGAACCTTCGGGAAAACCTACCATGCACAAAACTGTCCGGCTGGAAGAGGGCCCCTAGTCTGCCAGAGCGGATGCTGTCCATCGGGCCAGGTTCCAGGTCCACTAGGACAGCCCGGGGCACATATTTCTTACCTGCGCAGAAAAATAGGAAGTCAGCAAACTGTTCTTTTTTCTAAAAGTTTACGTTTCATCAAAATGAGACCTTATGATGCTGGTGCCCCACAGAAGGTGTTCTAGAAGGTGCTTAGGTAGAAAGAAATCTGAAACCATCCTGACCTCAGCTGTGCAACGCCTTACAGTTAACGTCTCTCTTCTATTGCATTGCCAGAGACAGAGAGCCTGTTCCTACTGGAAATGGTTCTGGTTTTCATTTAAAAACCAAAAAGGGAGGTTGGTGTTGAACTGCCCATGTGAAGATGTGCGTCCCCAATTCAGTGACTTGACACGTTCTCGCCCTCGGGCAGGGTTTGGGGTATCCCCTGCAGGTGCCCCTGCTGTGCCTGGACATGGCCCATTCGATGTTCCGGATTTGCGGGCCTGCCTCTGACCGTGCTCTCAGCGTTGTGACCATTGCTCCCGGACCCAGCATCCTACCGTGCGCCTCGTTGTAGTACACGCCGATTCTCTCCAGCTGTAAGGCACAGTCCCCGCAGTAGCTCCCGACAGAGTCGATCCCATGCTCCTCGCCAATCACCTCCCAGAACTAAAAGCAGGAGGAGGGGAGGTCAGCCTACAGAGGGACCCCCGAAAAAGGCCATGTGGGCCCAGCAATTCGCAGTTTGAGCAGGAAGACAGTAAGCCAGTGAACACCCCTGGCCTGCCTCCCTGGGTCTGCCTGGCATCCCTGCCCAGGCCTTCTCTTTGGCCCTTTTCGTAAATAAATGCCTGCTCCACATAATCCACTTTTTGGCTCTAGTGAATATGAATATGAAGGCTGAATTTTATACCCACCTGAAGTCCTTGAATAAAATGCCAGCACATAAAATACTAAACTGGATTTCACTCCTGTTAAATTAGGGCGTTTCATATACATTAAAGCTGTGGTTTCTGAGTTTCACATTAGACAGTGTTTCTCTAATATTGCCTCAGTGCTCGAAGCTAGTATAGACCCATTAAATGAAAATAGACTGACTTCTTACCTGATTTCACAATAAAATCTCATATCAATTTGAGGATTTATTTTCATGCAGTTTTCCAAAAAGCTCATACTAGGACACCTATGCACGATTTTAGGCAATGTGCATTTTTGATGATCGGATATGCACACAACTCAAAATCATGCATAGCTGTTCTCTTAGATATCCTTGAAGCATATTTACTGATACAGGTATGTGCCAAGCTCTTAATATGAAAACAGTTACTTAGATGGCCCCTTTTCATTGCCCTGGTGAAGCACATATTAAAGTGCAATGAAAATATATTCATCTATGTTAAAATCCCCAAGGGTGCTTTCCCAACTGCGTCTTGTAACTGATGGCTTTGTTCTGGCCATGGTCTTATTAACAAGTCTCTATTTTATAGTAAATTACCAGCGCTATCCAGGGGTTAGAGGAATAAATAAACTTAAGCTCTACGACACAAATGTGTCTTTAAGTTCTTAAGGCCCCAAATAATAAGTGGTCTCCAGGGCTCTCCCATTAGACAGCACGACTCTGGAGTGAGCCCTGGGAGCCTATCTGGGCCACACACGCCCTCTCTCCATGTTATCTAACAGCTTCAGAGTCGGGGAGGGGGAGGGGCGTCCTGCCTCCTACTTATTGTGTTTTAGTTATGATTGTCTTATCACTGTGGCATGGAAAAGTGACGTCTTCTTCTGCAGCAGAATATTCTTTGGCCCAGGTTTTAAACACCTCCATTCAAAGACTGTAGAATAGCTGCATTATTCACAAGGGCCAGAAGTTGGAAACAGCCCAAGTGCCCATTCTCCAGTGAAAGATAAACATAAGGTGGTATATCCATGCCATGGACCGTTATTCAGCCTTAAAAGGGAAGGACATTGTGACACATGCTACAACATGGAAGAACCTTGGGGACATTATGCTGAGATAAGCCAAATGCAAAGGGACCAATACGGTATGATTTCACTTACATGAGCCATCTAGAGCTCTCAAGTTCATAGACCAGAGAGCAGAATGGTGGGTGCCAGGGGCTCGGGGGTGGGAAACAGGGAGTTAAAGGGGACAGAGTTTCAGTTTTGCAAGATAAAAAGCATTTTGGAGATTAGATGCACAACAATTTAATATGCTAAACACTACTGAACCCTACACTTAAAAATGGTTAAGATGGTAACATTTATACTTGTGTTTTGCCACAAGTCAAAGACATTTTTAAAGTTTTAATGCAATTAAAATTTTAATGTAATTTGTACTAATGAAAGTAATTTCAGAAAGCAAAAAGAACAATCATCTGCCACACAGTAGAATTAGTCATCTTAAAATTAGGGTTCCTGTTCTCTCTGTGTTAGTCAATTAAACGAGGAACTTTGCAGAAAAACTTAACAGGGAGGGAAAGAAAAACTCATATATATTCCTGACAGTGAATTTAAATATTTCTGCTATTACACACAAAAACTTTGAGGTTTATCTCTTCAATTTTCTAATGCATACTAAACAGGAGTTGATCTTTTTTTTTTTTAGGAGTTTATTAGAAAATAAGAGTTTAAAGAAAAGAGAAAGTACATGCTCAAGAGTTGAACGTGGGGAGTTCCATGAGGGCATTGCCAGGAGTTGATCTGTTTTAACTTTATAGCATAAATATGGGAGGGAGGGAGATATATTAGTGATACGGTCTCAAAAATTTCCCAAAAACTTTGGAAAATTGAGGCAAATTACTGTCTTTAAACATGAAAAGTTCATTGCCAAAGTTGATAAAGGTAAAAATGATTGACATGCATATTATGCACTGTTGTCAACAAAATTAACGTAAATTAAATTAACCCTTTAAGCCTTTTCCTGAGTCTCTTTAACTAAAAGCAATTGTTTAATACTCAGCAAGTACATGTACCCTGTTAGGCTCCTTGTCTTTCCTGCTAACAGCCAGTGTCTTCCCAGGTGCCTAGACCAGTACTAGTAATAGAACTTTCCTTACCTTCGCTCCAATCTGGTTACCACACTGGCCAATCTGAATGTGTACGATTTCACGCATCCTTGCTTCGCTCTGCGTCCAAATGTAAGACCTACACAGACTCCTGGGTCTCTGGGAGCGCTGCTCTTCACGGCCGAGAGCCCAGCACAATTCTGGACTTGCAGCGATGGGATACAAGGACCAAGCTACCCTCCCAATGTGACCAAGGGTGTGTCCAGTCCAGAGGCCCAGCCTCTGCTCTTCTCTGCTCTCTGCCCATCATCTTGGTTGAAGGGGGAGTTTTTTCCTCTCCCAACACAGAATATTGCCTGGTCATTTCCTAGAGTTCAAGTCTGAAGGCCGACTGTGTGCACAGTGCGTGGAGGTCCAGTACCCGGTACAGACCTTCCCGTGGTCTCCACTGGGTAGCCAGTTGGTGAGGCTTGTGGTGTAACTGAGACACCGCTCCTAGCTCACTGGGGCAATTAGGACCACCACCAGAGAGCTTCCCGTATCCAAGCCAGTTGTACTGTTAGAAATCCTTTGTCTGTACACATCACTTGACAAATGAGGCCACGATATTCCAGAACTTGAAGTGACTTCACCAGTCACACAACCAGTAAGACATCCCCCCTCCCTGAAGAAGAGCCGTGGCCCCCTTGTCTTCGGCTGTGTTCCCTAAGGAGTAACCTGAAAGCGACTGATGCGCCTTAAGTAGTGTTTATAATAGTAAAATGATAATGAAAGGAAGCATCTTTTTAAACTTGGCCAAAGTTGTGATGGCAACATGTGATTCTCAGGAGTTTGGGAAACCGCAGTCAGGAGATAGGATCTAAACTCCATGGCTTGCCACCAGGACCTTTCCCAGTTTGGCCCCCAAAGGCCTTCATAGCCCCATTTTCAGACTCTGGTCCTCAGAAAGCCTGGGCTGTTAGGGTCTGGAGGTCACTTCCTCACTGGGCCGTCAGGCCCCCCAGCGCACCTGCACCCTCCCATCATGCATGTTCACGCCGGTGCCCAGTGTCCACTCCCCCGCATGCCAGTGCCACTCTTCCTGCTAATTGCCCTGTTGCTGCCCTACAGGGCCTTCTGCCCGGGTCGGGGCCCAGCTACCCCTTCCTGGCTCTGCCCTCTGCTGCCCCCTTTGCTTGCCCCATTGTCAGGGGGCTTATCGTTGGCCACTGGCTTCCTTCACCAGACCTGGAACTGTCTGAGAGCCAGACTCCCAACAGCATCTCCCTGACACCCGGGCAAGGCCTGGCCACACAGCAGGTGCTCAGCATGTCTCCCTGACTCCCCGCAGGCACCTTCCCAAGCCAGTCCCAGGCGCCATCCTCCTACCCACAAGCTGCTTGCCCAGCAGCACGGAGCAGGGCAGCCCAGCCAGCCGCCAGTCCCCATCCTGCTCCAGAGGCTGTGTCTGGCCACCCGGTGGGTTTGGTGATACCAGGTCTGCAGACAAGGGGAATCGGAGCCCCGGAGGGAGCAGGAACACTGGTTTGGATGAGGGGCAAGCCAGTTGGGGCAGCCCTGCAGCTCAGGGGACTCTGGGGGCCCGGCACCAGTCAGGCAGGTCTGACCGCTCGAAGTTCCCAGGACGTGGGTGACGCACTCAGCAGCCCCTGCTTCTCAAAGCTTCTCTCCAGTGTCTGCCAGGCACAGAGCAGCTATCAAGGGAGCCCCACCCCCACCCCATGTTCTGGGCACGTGCTGGGAGCTGGGGTGCAGGAATGAAGGAGCTCACGGAACTCTGCATGGAGCTGATTTATTTAGGAAGACCCTCCAAAAGCAGGGCTGGACGCACTCAAAGCCAGAGTCCCCAGACCGGTGACCACGGCTGTGGGGTCTGCCCTGCCCCCACCCAGGCCCCATCTCCAAAGTCCTGGGCACTTTCTACGAACCTAGTAGGCCGGCAACCTGAAGTCAGTGACATGGGCAGGAAAGTCCAATGGTGGATTTCCTGGGGGGAAAATAGCCTCTACCGCTCCCAAAGGAGTCTGACCACCAAGTAAACAGACCGGGCTGGACACCAGAAGGGAATCCGGAGGTGGGGCAGAAGGACTTTGTTCCTGGGGGTGCCTGCCAGCGCCAGGACTGCTCCAGCTCTCACTGCCCAGTAAGCCCAGGGGCCACATGCCTCCTGAGCACAGCGTGACGCAGTGTCAGGTCTGGGCAGGGGGAAAGTTGCTACAAAGGGCACTGCTGGGATGGTTGTGAAATCTGCACACAGACTGCAGATTGATCTCCTTGTACCCATGTTGTATTTCCTGAATTTGATCACGGCCCGGGGGATCCCTCAATGGAATTCTTGTTTTCAGGAGATACCATGAAGCAGTCAGGACCAAGGGTCACCATGCGGGCAGTTCACTCTCCAGACAGCTGGGCAGCAGTGATGTGAATGCATCCTTGTAGAGAGAGGTGAAGCAAATGCGGCAAATGGGTCATGATTGGTGTCTCTTTCCCAACCTTGTACAGAATTGGCACTCTTACATTTCTTTAAGTTAGGAATTTTTTTCTACTCATATTTTTTCTGCTCTGAATGACCCCATGATGCACAGATGCTTCTGGTCCAAACCCTGCTGCCCCAAAGGTAAAAGAGAAGAAAATGTAAATTCAAGAGGAAGAAATCTGCATGTGCTCAGCAGTATTTTTCACAAGTTTCACAAAAAAACATACACAGAATAAAGCTTTCAGCTTCCATGGAAGTCACCCCACCACCCCTCCCTCCCTCGGGACCTCCACCCCTTGCTCTTCCTGGGTCCATCCCTGCAGCTGCGCTCCCCACCCTCCCTGCTGTGGGAGCCCTGCAGAGACCAAGGCTGCCTGGGCTGTGCCCCGGGTCAGAGGCGTGCCTCCTGCGGCCCAACACGTTAGTTCACTTACACATACGGCTGTGTTTGCCCATTACTCATGCCCATGCCTTATCGCCCGGCCAGCCTATCATTTCACCTTTAAGTCCCAAAGTGCCTGATAGAGACAAGGGCTCAGTAAATGTTTGTCTAATGCACACCAACAGCCGGGCAAGTCTGAGTGGCCCTGCTCAGAATGGCGAGTTTCCCTAACGCTGATAATGCATTTATTCCCGAGTGTGTCCAAATGGGTGGGGGCTGGGGACATGGTGCTGAGGACTTTGTCCTCCATCCACTGTGAGGGGGTCTGGGCCAAAAGCATGAACTGCTCCGGGAAGCCTGGATGTCAGGAGTGGCTGGTGGGTGGAGGGACCCCATGAGCTACTATGGGACGCAGTGGCTGCCGCTGCCGTGGAAAGGGGTCTGTGGGGGCCAGGCCAGAGGGCGTTTTGGGTCTTCCTGTGCTCATTCTTCAGGATCCAGGGAGCTGGGTTCCCCTCCCAACCTCTGCCCAGGAGCACATTCCTCTTGGTGATCTCAGTTTACTCAGGGAGGAAAAAGGCCCAGTTTCCAGACGGGCTCTTAAAAGGTTTTTCTGTTAATGAGGCTGCTGGCAAAAGGGGGGAAAACAGGAACCCTGTTTGCTCTGATTCGCGGCACGGCCAGCAGAGTTGACTCATCTGGGCAGCTGTGCTGAGCTTTGAAAGCCGTTGCTGGATGGAGCGAACACCTGGCAGGGAGATCGCCTCCACTCCGGGCCACCTCTGCCCTAGATCTGAGCTCTCCCCGCCGTGAGACGGGATAGTGGTCCCCATACCAGTTTGCCCTGAGCGGCCAACTCCCAACACTCCTTCGCCGGCAGCTTTTCCAGCGAGCTTCCTGGGTGGAAGGGGAAGCTGTGTGCACGGCTCCGTCCCTTCACACCCAGGTGTGGAGTTCCCCCGAGGTCAGGCTTGCCTAGTCCTGGGCACAGCGGGCTGTCTGGACAGCGATGCACTCTGTCTCTGCCCCCCTGTCCTTACCTATGAAGCTACCTGTTCCCAAGGAAAGAACTCTCCTCTCACTGCCGGTTTAGTGACCACCAGCCAAGCGGCAAATACATCGTGTCTTTCTCAGACCAGTGGAAGTGACCCCTTCCTGGGGCACAGGTGAGCAGTGTCCCTCGAGAGGCTGGCAGGACCCAAGGTCTGATCTACCAGGCTGAAGGTGACCCCGAGTTCTGAACTGCAGCGAGTGATTAAAAGTGGCCATTTGTGAGGGTTGACAAAGTCACTTCCACCCCAGAGAAGGGCTGCTGCAAGGGCAGGTTGGCAGGGACATGCTCAAGCACAGAGCTTCAGCAAGCACGGCCTGGGAGGGCAGAGGGCAGAGGGCAGGAGCAAATCCACCCCAAGCGTATCCGGCAGGGTGCACATGGCGAGGAGGTGGGCCGCCTGCGGACACCGCCATGATCAAGTGCAACTGGCTGACCCTTGGCTGAAGTGCCCTCTCCTCTGAAGGCTGTCCGGCAGGACGGGGGGTGGTAGCGAGCCTTTTCCTGGATGATACTTGCATCTATTACGGGAACAGAACTAAAGTGATAAGGAAAACCAAGTGTCACCCAGAAACCCCAAATCAGCTGCTTCCAGACTTCCCCCAGGAGATGGCCTTGGTGGTCGGATGTGGGAACCCCCCACCTTCGTTTGGCAGGTGAAATGTAATGAGGAGAAAAACAGAGGGCTCAGAGACTTCATTGATTTCGTCCACCCCAATCTTCCACTTCTGAGTACACTGAAGTTCCTTGAATAACTCAGAGAAGATTGTTGAATTATAGTGTTTGCTTGTGATTCAAAAGCAGAAGTTGTTTCAAATGTCTTAGCAAGAAAATGACATCCGAAGGGCCATTATGAGTGACTCACCGGGTGTGGGCAGATCGCCAGATGAACTGGGCGCCACTTTCTTGAACTCGGCCTCCAGTGTATTCTCTTACTGTAAAAGAACGTCCTGAGACTGAGTAACTACAGGAGAGAGGCAAGGAGGACGTTGCTGTTTTGCATTAAGCCAGGCTACGCGCAGGAGACTTGGACGTCTCCCGGCAGCCGGCCGCCCCGCGCGCTGAGCCTGCCCGCTGCTCCGGGGCTGCTCCTCATGCCGAGCCAGCCTCTGAGCTCAGGGAGCTGCGCCATCTCTTCGGGTACATGGAACATCAGCGTCCTGGGCTGTGGCATCGCTGATTGACAGGAGCGCACACACACACACGCACCCCACTTCCCCAGAACTTCCGCGGTTCTCAAGGTGTCTGGACACACTGACATCAGTCTCCTCTCTCCCACCTCCCAAGGTGTGTGCTTCCTGATAAGCAATATTCTGGGGCAGAAACAGAGATAAGCAAAATGTGGGGGGCAGCACCTGGAGCTGAAATCAAACAAAAAGATATTCTTCAAGCCCAGTGTTTGTCCAAGACTCTCTGCTGTACGAGTCTCAGAAATCCATTCATTTATCCAACAAATATTGGCTGAGTGCTTTCTGGGGGGCTCCGAGGAGAGACAGGAAATAGAGGCCCTGCCCTCAAGCAATGCAGAGACATGACTGCCCTAGTCCCTCTCTGCTGCCTTGCCCGAGTTCTCTGCCACTATTACATGTCACCTCGTTCAGCGTGCCTTTGAACAAAGTGATGGCTCTCTCCATTTCGTAGAAGCATCAAAGGTTCGCAGAGGGCACTGACATGTTCAAGGCCCAGGAAAATGCTGAAGAACCAGGGATTGGCCACAGGCCTTCAGACCCCCACATCTAGAGGAGTTCAGGTGTCAAGAGGCAGGCCTCCAGCCGGGCGTCCGAGGAGCCTTGGCTGCGCTCCTGGTCTGTGATCCACAGCGAGGCCCACCAGCCAGCCTCCCAGAGAGGCAGCCCAGCTGCCCCGCCGTCTCCCCTCGCCTCCAGGGCCCCCAGCAGCGCCGCAACAGCCTACAGCTGACACCACTCCGGCCTCCTTCCGGCCCACCCTCGCCACAGCCGCTGGAGGAATCTTTATAAAACATGAATCAGATCTCCCCACTGCCCTCCAGGAAATGACCAGCAACCAGGGTAAACCCAACCCTCTCCGGGGAAGCCACCGTGGAGAGTACAGGGGGGTGTGGAAAGGAACCAGAGGCGAGCCTATCCCAGGAGGGAGGGAACTGGGGAGGGTGGGACCTGGGCAGGAGTCCTGAGCCTCAAGGACCAGTGGCCAGTGGGAAGCGTGGGCTTGGACACAGAGCAGCACATGGCCTGGAAGTCTGAGGGGCGTGCTTACCACCCCTATAGGCTCTCCAGTGGCCTTCCCCACTACTTCTTTGCCAGCCACCTCTGGGCCACACTCCCCACCAGCTTCTTGAGTTGATTGTGCCTACTAAGCGTGTTTGCATTTCCTTCTGCTTAAAACGTCCAGCACTTTCTATGGCTAGGTCCCCAGGGGGCCCCCATCTCTAGCCTGCCCCGTGGGACTCATCATCGCTGTAGCCCACACGCTAGGTGTGTGACAAATATTTGCTGACTGCCTGATGTAGAGAGCCAACATATGTGATCAGGTCATGACCAAGGCCCCTCTGACAGAGGTCATGGCCAGCCCTGGGTGGCTGTATGTTACCTGCCTAAGGCCGGCAGGTTCTGAAGGTGATGCAAGCAGCCCAACCTCACAAATGTGACCCCAGGAGCTGTGCACCCTCACACGCAAGTGTGTGCAGCCTGGGGAACCTATGGTGATGATAGTCAGGCACAGTGGCAGGAGCCACAGCTCACCTGGCCCACCCCACCGGAAGGTCTTTGCTGCAAAGGCATGTGTGAGTCAATGTGAGCATGTGCCCTGACAGCCATGAGGATGGAGAAGAGCCCCGCAGCTGGCAAGGAGGCCATGGTGCCCTGCAAAGCCAGGCTTGCCGACCGAGCACCGTCGGCATCAATCCAAACAAAAGCCGGTATCCAGGATGTGGCCAAACTCAGGAATGTGGAATAATAGGAAATGTCTGCAGCTTGCAGTGCTATCCAGACCCCACGGCATGAAGAAGGAAGAGGCCTCTGAGGCAGTCCCCCCGTAAATGGAATCTCCCCCTTGCAGTCTGGTCCTCTGGGTTGGGAAAGCGGGCCTAACTGCAAAGTATGCGTATTCTCTACACATGAGATGAGAAGAAAAATCAACCTTATTATTAGAAATGCATAGCTTTCACGTCACGGCCTTGCCTCATGTGTCTGCCTTTTCAGTCTGTCCACATACCCGTAAGAGAGCCCGTGGGACTAAAGGCGCTTGGGCAGTGCACGCTGCGCCAGGATCGGGGGAAGAAGGAGCCCCAGGTCCACGGGCTTCCTGGGTTTGAACCGTCAGAGGAGCTGAGAAGGCAGAGTGGGTCAGGTCAAACCTCACTTCCTTCTACTTGCCTTGAATGTTGTGGTTCCAAACGTCTGGACTCCTTCCCAGGCCTCTGGCCCCGTTTTCCCATCATTCTCTGAATTTGAGTTGCTTCTATGTCAGGTACACCCCAATGTGCCACCATCTGTCCAGCTCTGGAGGTCCTATTCCTTACCCAAAAACATCCCCAGCCCCTCCCTTTAGCCTGCGTTCCACAGGCTGAATGCTTCCTGATCTCCTCACCCCTCCGACCTTGGCCCATGTCCTGGCTTGTGGAGGTCAAGTGACTGAGCAGGCCTAGCTGAGATGTGCAGGGCCTGGAGCAAGATGGAACCTTGCACGGCCTGACTTTACACCTTGGGCCGTGTGGCTGCAGGGATCACAGGCCGGCGCCTGTCTCACCACCATCCTCATGCAGCGGGCTGTCCCTGGGAGGCCCAGGGCATCTTCGTCCCCATCCCCTGGGGCTGCAGGGCAGGCAAAGTGGTGACTCGGCACATTTTCAGCCACTATCAGGGATGAGGCCCTAACTGCCCAGCCCAGCCCCCAGAGGCAAAGCCTAGAGCGATCCCCTCCCTGACTTGTTTCTCATGCTGTAAAACATGTGCTTGGACTTTGCACCTGTCAGCTGGACCCTGACAGTCTGTGGGTACTTGGGGATCCCCACAATATTTATCACCCTGGAATATTGTGACCACTCTGGCCATCATTCAGCCACAATGAGCTTTTAGCTTTTTCACGAGACATGACCGGAAACCCACCTCTTAGAAAGACCCCACCTGGATGACATCATAGGTCGACTTTCTTCTTCACAGGGACCACCTGCTCCACCCGTCATGGGGGACATCCCAGCTGGCAGTCCCATTCCCACTCACTTTACACCCACAGTGGAGAGACAGGCTCTATGCAGGCCTGGTGCCCAGGCTCCAGGTGCTTTCCACACCCTCACCCCAGCTCAGGCATGTGTTTCTCCAAGGAGCCGGCTGCAGCCCCATCCCACCTCGGTCCCACCTGCTAGCGATTTTCCAAGAAGCTGAAAGACCCAGTCAGCGGAGACGGCCGGGCTGCCCGGCCTCAGCAGGAACGAGGCCTGGGCCTCGGGGCTGACACAGAAGAACCGCCTCGCCTAGGAGACCTCGCCCTGCTGACAGGCACTGCCGCAGGCTGCCGGCCCTGCTGGGGTTCTGGGGCTTCCTCCGCCTTCCAGGGCTGGTCGTACACATCGCTGCAAGTCAGCGGGGCAGTCACGTTGGGTTCTGATCGCTGGTGTGGTGCAGGCGGAGGGAAGAAGGGAGGGCCCCTTTCGTGCAGGTCAGAGCAAGGCAAGCCCATCTGGGGACCCTACAGCCCGTGGGGACCCTCTCCTGACAAGGATGGGGGCCTCTGTGGTCTGCTTCCCTGATGCACGCTCACAAGGGGCACGAGGGGGAGAAACTCTTGAGTTATGAAACGGCGGCGTGGGGGTCCCACTTCTGCTTTCGTTTCCCCATTAACGATGAAGAGCTTTTTAGCAGGAAACCTCTCCAAGCATCTTTGCAAGTTGGAATGTAGAACGAATGACTCCTGCACGCAGTGCAATTTTCTTTCGGGGCACCTTCCAAAAAGAGTCACCCTTCCTTCCGCGGGGAGCGGACTTCTCCCCACGGAGGGCCGGGCCTCGGGGCAGCGGCCCTGCACGCCAGGCCCGGCGCCTGGGGCAAACCACCCGCGGCCCGAGGCCGGGCGGGCCAGGCGGCTCCTCCCCGGGCCTGCGGCGGCCCCGCCCCGGGGGTGTGTCCGGGGCGCCCCACCTTAAGGCCGCGGCCGGCCGGGGCTCGGGAGCCATGGCGCCGTCCGTGCGGCCGCTCCTGGTGCTCGTGCTGTTGGCGGGCGCGGCGCGAGCGGGCGCCCCCTTCCAGCCCCGCCGGCCCTGCTACCGGCCGCTGCGCGGGGACCAGCCGGCCGCGCTGGGAGTCAGGTGGGCACCGCGGGGGCTGCGCGGCCCCCTGGGGACCTGCCGCCTCCCGCGCGTGCCGGGAGCTGGGCGCCTGAGGGTCAAGTCCGGCGCCCTTCCCGTGGGCGGCCTCTGTCCCACCTGCGGGCGGGACGGGCCCCACCACCCGGCACCTGGGGCATGGCCTGGGGAGCAGTCTGTTCCTCGTTGGGTTGCCCTGCCTCCCCCATACTCTGCCGGGGGTGGGCGCCGGGGGTGAGACTGGCTCCCCTGGTGATCCGGGTGCTCCTCACGCCTGTGCCCCTTGGGGAAGGGGAGAGACCGGGCGCTGCGGAGAGCACTTGTGTTCTGGGCCCCAGGAGCGCCGCGCTGACTCCGTTGGTGGTGGTCTCTTTCTAGGACATACCCCCGGCCTCATGAGTATCTGTCCCCATCGGATCTGCCCAAGAGATGGGACTGGCGCAACGTGGATGGGATCAACTACGCCAGTGCCACCAGGAACCAGCACATCCCCCAGTACTGTGGCTCCTGCTGGGCCCATGGCAGCACCAGCGCCATGGCAGGTAGGTGGGGGCTTCTGCTGCCCCTCTGGACAGTGGGCCAGGAAGGCCTGTCCACGCTGCCTCCTTGCCAGCACAGGTGGCCGCAGCCCGAGGCCCCAGGGCCTGTGATTCCATGCCAGGACTGAGCCTGCCTGAGCCTCGCAGCCCAGTGGGCTCTGACAGGTGTCCTCTGCCACCCCTCACCATCGAGGGAAGGCCAGAGTGGCCAGTGGATCGTGCCTCCCCTGTGCATGGGGGGGCCTGTCTGGCCCTGGGGAGGTCAGGCAGCGCTAGGACTGAAGCCCAGTGATGAGTGGCTCCCAGGGGCCTTCTCTCCCCGAAGGCTTGTGACCCTGGCCATTTTGGATCAAATCAGAAATGCAGATTCACTGAAGGCCCCGCCAGAGTTTGCAGACAGGCAAGTGAAGCTGCCTTTCCGTTAATATTTGAGACGAGTATCTCCCTGGGCGTGGCATACTGAGCAAGGCTGGCTGGTTTTCTCCTTTGGACCGCAGCCATCTGATCACGATGCGGGCAGGAAGGCCCGTGGGGCGGCCGATGTCCCTAACCCGCGAGAAGGCTGCTGCACCTTGCCTTGGGAGAGGAGGGTGAGGGAGTTGGCATCAGCCTTGGGCTTTCACGCAGCCTAAGGCCTGCCTGGCAGCACACGGGAGGGGCTGTGGCGTCTCCAGTGGCAGCCAGGGCTCCAAGAGTTGAGCTCGAATTCTGGCCCCTGGAGGGCTGGGACATGATGCCTCCTCCCCGATGTGGGCGGCTTACCGGGCAGGTCTGCTGTAGGCGGGGAATTATGTTAAATGGATTAACAGCAGTGTGGTCACTGCCAAGACTTGCCAAGACTCTGGCACACACTTGTACGTGTACCATCCCTTTCAGCCTCCCCAGCTGCTATGTGTGTGATTGCTTCCAATTCACAGATGAGGAAGCTGAGCCTCCTGACAGGTCAGGTTCTAACAGCCTGGAGAACAACCCAGAAGCAAGGCCTCTGCTGTGCCTGCCTTTTGGATGAGTGGGGGGTGGGGAGTTGACCCCAAGGCCAGCTGGCTGTAGTTGGGGCGTCTGGCAGGGTCTCCCTGGTGGTTCTGCCCCTGTCTCTTTGGGGACTGGTGAGGAGACCCCTGGGGGTGGGGGCATACTTCTGACCTTCAGGAGGAGGGACAGGGCAGGTAGAGTAGGCTGAGACTCCATTTTAGGGTGTGGGAGCCCTCGGGAGCCATCAGGTAGGCCCCTGACTGGGAAGGACATGGATGGGGCTCCTGGAGGAGGTGGAACCAGAGGCTTAACCACTGGAGCCACATGGAGACCTTGCCAGGCAGGCTGGCAGGGAGTGGGCAGGCCTCGAGGCAGAGGGTCTGGGCAAAGGCCAGGCAGAATTGGTGCTGGCTGGGGGGGAGGAACTGAAAGAGGGCCTTTGTGGCGGGGCCTGGGGAGGGGCCTTCCCTGGGGAGCTCTAAAGGTCACCAGGGGCCCTACCCCAGCGGGAGTGTCTGGCAGAAGCCTTGAAGGAATTTAGAGAGGGAGTCAGGTGCTAGGATTCGCCCCCATGAAGGACCTTAGGAGGGGTGGCTGGAGACTAGCCTTTGACCTGGTCGCCCAAGGCTCTGGCGTGGAGCCTCTCCTGGGCCGCCCACTGCTTCTGTGCTCTTTCTTCCTCAGCAGCTAGCATCTCCCGGCAGGCCCTTCTTCCTCTTTCACTGAGAAAAGAGAAGCCCCAGAAGGGGACTTCCACAGGCGCCCAGCACCGCCTCCCCCAGGCGCATCTCGCCCTTGCTTGTGTTCCCTTCTGTCCCTGGGCACCAGAGGTCCGAGCCCCTTGCCAAGGCCCCCCTCCCTGTGCAGAGGGCTGGCCATCGCCGTGACCCGATGCGCTAGGGCCTCCCAGGAACAGATGGGACACTGCTGCGAAGCCACAGCGTGAGAGAGCCGGGATGTCGGCCATTCCGATGGCAGAGTGGTTTGGTACCAGCAGTGGGGGTGGAGGGGACCTGCACCCCACCTGCAGGCCTGGCTCGGCATGAGGGTGAAGACAAAGAACTCATCTCTGGGTCTGCCGGGGAAGTGACCACCTGGGTGTTGGCAGCCAGGCCAGGATTCAGTTAGAAGAAAATTCACTTATGCAGGACCATTCGCTGACCCCCTCGTGTGTGCCAGTCTGGTGTGTCCAGGTACTGAAGCTGTAGCTGTGACCCAAACACAGGACCCAGGGGAAGCAGTCACCATGCTAAGTAGTGTCAGGGACCTGGGAGCTGGCCGAGCTGGGCAAGGCGGCCACCTCTCTGCCCTGTCCCCCCACCTGGGGCCAGGCGCCACCAGCCTTCCCCAAAGGGGCTTATTCCACTCCCTGGACTTCTCGCCCGCCAGCTGGGTGGCCCTGGGCTGCACTTCTCACAGGGGCGCCCTTCTGGGCCCGAGGGCAGGGCCTGTGCCCTCTGTTCTTAGCTCTGTCTTCGGTGCCGGCCCAGTGTCTTCTTTCCTTGGATCCCGTAGCAGGCCCTTCTGGGGCACAGACTGGCCCTGCCCGTGTGGCGCTGACAGTGGGCATGGGCCAATGCAGCTGTGCCCAGGAAGGGCCACAGGCTGCCTCTCTGGAGAGCTGAGACTCCCAAGAATGGGTCTGCCTGGCAGAGGGCCCTGGGCAAGGCCCAGGCAACTGTGAGGCCAGGAGGGGTGGGCGGGTGCTGACCGCATGGCTGCCGCGCTTGCAGACAGAATCAACATCAAGAGGAAGGGCGCATGGCCATCCACTCTGCTGTCTGTGCAGAACGTCATCGACTGTGGCAACGCGGGCTCCTGTGAGGGCGGCAACGACCTCCTGGTGTGGGAGTATGCCCACAAGCACGGCATCCCGGACGAGACCTGCAACAACTACCAGGCCAAGGACCAGGGTAGGCCCCTGGGAGCCCCAGGCCTCTTCCCGGGAGAGGCGTGGCCCAGAGCCCAGGCTAGCGCACACCTCACACTCTGGGGCAGGGCGGGGCAGAGCTGGCTGCCCTCCGCCACCTCCAGCCTGGTGGGGCTGGGAAGCCGGAAGCTGGAGCCTGTCGTTCTTAGGACGGCCAACCTCAAGGACCTGGGGAGGGCATGTCCCTACGGCCAGGCTTGGCCCTGGTGTTTAGATTCTGATGTGCTGCCACTGTGGTGGTTTCGTGGGTCTTCGTAAGGTGAGCTCTTGCCGAGGGAAGGGTAAGTTTTCCGGTTTTCCAGGAGTGGGATGAGGAGCGCAGGCACGCTGCCGCTCTGGACCGGAAGCCGGGTGGCCCAGGAGCAGCGTCAGCCAGGTTCCCGCCTCGTGACCCTGAGGCAGGGTCATACGCACTCAGGAGGATTTGGGGCCGAGGGGGCCGCCGCATCCCTGGAGCTGGCACATTCCTTTCAGGCTGCTCCCCCTGGGAACCGAAGGGAGAAGTCCAAACCCAAATCCATAACTGGCAGTTGAAGTCGCCTGTCACTGCCAGAGCTGGGCAGCCAGAGAGGAGGGCGGGGATGAACTCGAGAGGCCATCTGAGATGGGAGTGAGGGGATGGAGGGACCTGGGGGTGCTTTCCACCCCCACCCTGTCCATCAACGAAGGGGTGAGCTCCAGCCCGTGTCCTCTGAAGAGGCAGAGCGGACTCCAGGCACCATCCAACACCCAGGGGGTGCCCTCACCTGGCTCCTGGGCCACGCTGCCCAGCCAGAAAGAATTCCCCCAGGCTGGTCAGGTGAGGCTTGTTGAAGTGATAAACGCAGTAGGTCAGAGAACCAAGGAGAGGGGCAGATGGATATGGGAGGAAGCTCTTCAGAATGTAGGTCGGCTGACCCCTGGGGCGACACCCTGCATGCCCTGGTGTTGGCATAAGCCAGGCCCCCCGACCCATCCGGCACAAAGGGCGAGGTGGGAGCTCAGCAGCAGCCTGGCTGTCTGCCATGGTCTTTGTATTAACAAACGTGGCCAAAGGACCACCACTCTCTGGTTGTACTGGGCTGAGCATTTGGTGTCCAAGAAACAAATTAAACCAACATTTTAATCCTCAAGGAGTTTAATGTCCCAGGGAG